TGGGATGGGCTTTGGCAGCCCTGAAAATTATTTATGGATCCGGGCTGTTTTTGTGCATCCATGTGAATGCAACACCAAGCAGCAATCACTCACTCTTTTTCTCCCGCGATCATGTGGAATGTGAACAGTGGTAACAAGAAAAATGCGACACTGACACTGGCAGCTCAGACGATGGTGGCCTGCAGGAGCAGGCAGAAACCAAAATCTGGCGTGACACTCTGACAATGGAAGCATTTGACACTCATTCTGTGTGGCCAGTACAATAACACACCCAATGCGCACCCCTCCATGCCTGCTCAAAGTTGACACTGATTTCCAGCTGGTAGGCCTGACATAATAGAAACACGTGACACTCATTCTGTGTGGCCAGTACAATAACGCACCCAAGACGCACCCCTCCATGCCTGCTCCAAGTTGACACTGATCTCCAAGACGAAGGCCTGCCATAGTGGATGCATTTGACACTCATTCTGTGTGGCCAGTACAATAACGCACCCAATACGCACCCCTGCCTGCCTTGTCACAGTTGACACTGATCTCCAGCTGGTAGGTGTGTCAACTTTGAGCACGCATGGAGGGGGCCTATTGGGTCCCAACACACACCCTCCATGCCTGCTCAAAGTTGACACTGATGTCCAGCTGGTAAGCCTGACATTAAGGAGCAATTGACCGGCCAGTACAATAACGCACCCAATACGCAAACCTGCCTGCCTTCTCCAAGTTGACACTGATGTCCAGGAGGAGGACCTGACTTTAATGGATTGACACTCATCGACATCCACTGCACCGTAACTGCTTGTCGACATGGTGACACTTGGCAGAGGAATCATCAACCAAAACAGAGTAGCACCAGCCAGGCGGCGAGCGGCTCATTCAGACCTTGACAGCTCGAGCAGCTTGACGGTCTGTCAAACTGCTCGAGGAGTCAAGGTCTGAGAGAGCCAGCTGACACTTCATTCCATGACAAAGCAGACGGTAAGCCTGACATAACGGAATCACTTGACACTCGTTCTGTGTGGCCAGTACACTAACGCACCGAACACGCACCCCTCCATCCGTGCCTTCTCTAAGTTGACACTGATGCCCAGGAGGAAGACCTGACTTTAGTGAACTGTCGTCGACATGGTGACACTTGGCAAACTTAAAGGTATCATCAACCAAAACAGAGTCATAGCACCAGCCATGCGGCGAGCGGCTCATTCAGACCTTGACCACTCGAGCAGCTGGACGGTCTGTCCAACTGCTCGACGAGTCAAGGTCTGAGCGAGCCAGCTGACACTTCATTACATGACAAAGCGAATGGTAAGCCTGACATAATGGAAACATGTGACAATCATTCTGTGTGGCCAGTACAATAACGCACCCAATTCGCACCCCTCCATGCCTGCTCAAAGTTGACACTGATTTCCACCTGATAGGCCTGACATAATGGAAGCATGTGACACTCATTCTGTGTGGCCAGTACAATAACGCACCCAATTCGCACCCCTCCATGCCTGCTCCAAGTTGACACTGATTTCCAGCTGGTAGGCCTGACATAATGGAAGCATGTGACACTCATTCTGTGTGGCCAGTACAATAACACACCCAATGCGCACCCCTCCATGCCTGCTCAAAGTTGACACTGATTTCCAGCTGGTAGGCCTGACATAATAGAAACACGTGACACTCATTCTGTGTGGCCAGTACAATAACGCACCCAAGACGCACCCCTCCATGCCTGCTCCAAGTTGACACTGATCTCCAAGACGAAGGCCTGCCATAGTGGATGCATTTGACACTCATTCTGTGTGGCCAGTACAATAACGCACCCAATACGCACCCCTGCCTGCCTTGTCACAGTTGACACTGATCTCCAGCTGGTAGGTGTGTCAACTTTGAGCACGCATGGAGGGGGCCTATTGGGTCCCAACACACACCCTCCATGCCTGCTCAAAGTTGACACTGATGTCCAGCTGGTAAGCCTGACATTAAGGAGCAATTGACCGGCCAGGACAATAACGCACCCAATACGCAAACCTGCCTGCCTTCTCCAAGTTGACACTGATGTCCAGGAGGAGGACCTGACTTTAATGGATTGACACTCATCGACATCCACTGCACCGTAACTGCTTGTCGACATGGTGACACTTGGCAGAGGAATCATCAACCAAAACAGAGTAGCACCAGCCAGGCGGCGAGCGGCTCATTCAGACCTTGACCACTCGAGCAGCTGGACGGTCTGTCAAACTGCTCGAGGAGTCAAGGTCTGAGAGAGCCAGCTGACACTTCATTCCATGACAAAGCAGACGGTAAGCCTGACATAACGGAATCACTTGACACTCGTTCTGTGTGGCCAGTACACTAACGCACCGAACACGCACCCCTCCATCCGTGCCTTCTCTAAGTTGACACTGATGCCCAGGAGGAAGACCTGACTTTAGTGAACTGTCGTCGACATGGTGACACTTGGCAAACTTAAAGGTATCATCAACCAAAACAGAGTCATAGCACCAGCCAAGCGGCGAGCGGCTCATTCAGACCTTGACAGCTCGAGCAGCTTAACGGTCTGTCAAACTGCTCGAGCTGTCAAGGTCTGAGCGAGCCAGCTGACACTTCAGCCATGACAAAGCGAATGGTAAGCCTGACATAATGGAAACATGTGACACTCATTCTGTGTGGCCAGTACAATAACGCACCCAATTCGCACCCCTCCATGCCTGCTCCAAGTTGACACTGATTTCCACCTGATAGGCCTGACATAATGGAAGCATGTGACACTCATTCTGTGTGGCCAGTACAATAACGCACCCAATTCGCACCCCTCCATGCCTGCTCCAAGTTGACACTGATTTCCAGCTGGTAGGCCTGACATATCCACTCATTCTGTGTGGCCAGTACAAAACGCACCCAATTCGCATTCCTGCTCCAAGTGACACCAGCTGGTAGGCCTGACATAATGGAAGCATGTGACACTCATTCTGTGTGGCCAGTACAATAACGCACCCAATTCGCACCCCTCCATGCCTGCTCCAAGTTGACACTGATTTCCAGCTGGTAGGCCTGACAGAATGGAAGCATGTGACACTCATTCTGTGTGGCCAGTACAATAACGCACCCAAGACGCACCCCTCCATGCCTGCTTCAAGTTGACACTGATTTCCACCTGATAGGCCTGACATAATAGAAGCATGTGACACTCATTCTGTGTGGCCAGTACAATAACGCACCCAATTCGCACCCCTCCATGCCTGCTCCAAGTTGACACCGATTTCCAGCTGGTAGGCCTGACATAGTGGACGCATGTGACACTCATTCTGTGTGGCCAGTACAATAACGCACCCAATTCGCACCCCTCCATGCCTGCTCCAAGTTGACACTGATCTCCAGCTGGTAGGCCTGACAGAATGGAAGCATGTGACACTCATTCTGTGTGGCCAGTACAATAACGCACCCAATTCGCACCCCTCCATGCCTGCTCCAAGTTGACACTGATTTCCAGCTGGTAGGCCTGACATAATGGAAGCATGTGACACTCATTCTGTGTGGCCAGTACAATAACGCACCCAATTCGCACCCCTCCATGCCTGCTCCAAGTTGACACTGATTTCCGGCTGGTAGGCCTGACAGAATGGAAGCATGTGACACTCATTCTGTGTGGCCAGTACAATAACGCACCCAAGACGCACCCCTCCATGCCTGCTCCAAGTTGACACTGATTTCCAGCTGGTAGGCCTGACAGAATGGAAGCATGTGACACTCATTCTGTGTGGCCAGTACAATAACGCACCCAAGACGCACCCCTCCATGCCTGCTCCAAGTTGACACTGATTTCCAGCTGGTAGGCCTGACATAATGGAAGCATGTGACACTCATTCTGTGTGGCCAGTACAATAACGCACCCAATTCGCACCCCTCCAGGCCTGCTCCAAGTTGACACTGATTTCCAGCTGGTAGGCCTGACATAATGGAAGCATGTGACACTCATTCTGTGTGGCCAGTACAATAACGCACCCAAGACGCACCCTCCATGCCTGCTCAAAGTTGACACTGATTTCCACCTGATAGGCCTGACATAATGGAAGCATGTGACACTCATTCTGTGTGGCCAGTACAATAACGCACCCAAGACGCACCCCTCCATGCCTGCTCCAAGTTGACACTGATTTCCAGCTGGTAGGCCTGACACAATGGAAGCGTTTGACACTCATTCTGTGTGGCCAGTACCATAACGCACCCAATGCAAACCCCGTCCAAGCCTGCTTCAAGTTGACACTGATCTCCAAAAGGTGGGCCTGAGAAGGGCAGGCAATGTAAAACGCTAGCCCGAAAACGAGGCGTACTCTTTTTCGTCACTCTGAGCCTTTACGTCCGGGTGCACAGGTCTTCACTTCACGCTGCACAACACAGGTAAACTGGGGTCTGCTGTTACAGGAAAACGTTGTTACCCCCTTTGGTTTATGGTTGCCTCCTGCAACCGTAAAGCACTCCAACGTTGTATGAAGTCACTATGACATCACACCTTCGAGAAAACAAAAGCGTGTTGCTCCACAACACTGCCGAAAACTTTGTAGCTAGTCTACTGGCCTTCGGGTCAAAGCCAAAACACAGTCCTCACACCAGTCATTCATTTGATGACCAGTTGCACGAAAAGAACATGTATGACCAAAGTGTTTCACGAAGTCACACATACAGTACTTGTCATAGCAAGCCGAGCTTAAACTACGGCTCCAAAACAAACCCCTCAATGTACAGAAACTTTCACTCGCCAACTCGTTCATCTCAACGCTTCCCGCGACGGTTGTTCTTGAAAAGCTTGTGATCTGGATTCTTTGCCATGAGAGCCTTACGGATACTTTGCAAACATCTTGCACAAGGAAGTTGTCCACGAAGTAGTGATTCGCGCATCGTCATCATAGCGGTCGCCTTCGAGTCTTTCGTAATTGAAGAGCACACCCTGGTATGACAAGCATAGCCATACGCAGTAGCAACATACACCTCCATGTCAAGCGGAACTCCACTCACCACCAATGGCCCCCCAGGAGCATCACGAAGTACTGCATGTAGCGGTCCTCCATCTCCAAGTCCAGGTTGAAGAGCATCTCCAGGATGATGATGTCCACGATGCTGCAGTCCAGCTTGATGTGCATCTCCAGGTTGATGGTGTCCACGATGTTGTAGTTCAGGATGATGGCCTCCACGACGTTGTACTCCAGGTTGATGTGCATCTTCAGGTTGATGGCGTCCGCGATGTTGTAATCCAGATTGGCGTACATCTCCAGAATGGTAATCTACACGATGGCGAAGTCCAGGTTGATTTCCGTCTCCACGATGACAATCTCCATGATCACGTAGCGGATGTTGGATTTGATGTTCAGCTCCTTCTTGGTCGCTTACCAGATCCACGTTTCTCTTGAAGATTCGACCTATGATTCGCAACCAACTGCTGATACTCATCTGCAAGATCGCGCCGAAGAAGCCCGCAAGCATAACTATCAACAACAAGCCCTTGAACAGTTCCCCTTCTGACCAGCTCAGCATAAACTCGGCGCTCATGGTCAATGATCTGATTGGCGGTCCAGCCGCTGTAGCACTCCTTTGTAACCGATCTGTCTCCGTCGATTTCTTTGTGTTGTCTTCTGAGTAGGGAAGCGAGAAATTTCTTGGATGCTGAAGAGATTTTGGACTCAATGGGGACGCATCGCTGGATCTTGGATTTTCCTTTGCCCTTGGGGTCGTTGCTGCCACCACTTTTGTCATTGATGTTGTTGTTGTGGTCGTCATCGGATTCTCCTGCAATGTTGTACTCCCCGCTACCCCGTAGAAGAGTGAAAGGAGTACCAGGAGCAGGAGCACCATGATCACGAACGGGAGGAATGGCCTCCCCCCTCTCATTGACGGGATAAGCATTTCCAAATCGGAACATGTGACGCGGCAACTTGCACTCTCAGCAACCAAAAGAGAAAAGAGAAGCTTCCGGAGACCCCGAATGGCATATGCACTGTCACTTACCTTCACGCGCTTCAACTCATGTTTTGTGACCTCTTCCTCAAACTCAGCCTTACCGACTAGCTCACCATTTCTTGAGATCCCGAGCATGAATGACAACAATCTGATTCTCTGTTGGTTCATTGCCTTCGTCATCAGGTCCGGAGGGCAAAATTTAGTGCCGATAGGAGACGTTGTAAATTCTCCAGCTCGACACTTGTCTTGAATCCACAAGAAGGCGATCTCCACGTGTCGCATTCGCGACAAACCTTGCTTGTTGATAACAGCTCGACACGACGATGAGTCCACACGGTGACGAAGCTCCACATCACTTCCGCAAAGCCGCTCTAGCACTCTCCTCAGGAAAATTCCCTCTTGCACTGCAGCTAGAGAGCCATGTAATTCCGCTTCGCAACTGCTCAATGTGATGGACTTCTGTCTACGATTAGTCGCATGTACAAGGTTCCCGTTGAGGTAGATAGTCATCGCACTTATCGACCGTCTGTCCCTTTCTCCTGCCCACGAGGCATCACTCACCGCTTCGAGCAAGTGCCCCTCGCCGAACACGCAATCCTCGGATCCATGCTTGGCATCGAGACCTAGACATCGTTGCTGCAATGTTCTTCCCGGGTTGCATGGGGTCAGGAGAATGCCTTGCTCCGGATAGCTCTTCAGGAACTTCACAAGATGCCGAAGGAGACCCCATTCATGTTCCGTTGGCGCGGTGCACTTGCCACTCAAAAGCTTAATCGCATAAAGGCACTCAGGTCTGTCTTGTCCAAGATACAAGAGCACTCCCACGGCAGTCCGATAGATGCCATGGCGCCGTTCATCCAACGGCGTGTCATCTTTCACGTCATGTGGGTTCAAAGGAGACGGGGGCGACTTTCCAGCTGCCCTCTGCAATCCAAGGAGCTCAACGAGTTTCTCTATGTGTTTTCCATCTTGACTCACCAGAATCCCTTCACCCGTGCCCGTGAACTTCCGCTTCAAGAAGTGACACTCTCCCCCTTCAAACGTGCACGGGCCCTCGATGGAAAAACTCAAACCTGCCCCCTTCAACTTGGCTTTCAACTGATCAACACGCTCATCTGTGCTCAGAATCTCCAAATCATCTACATGTGTGGAAACACCGATCTTCTTAGGCTGAATGAATAAAGCCGGAGCTGCTTCAAAAGCTTCAAGTCCATCTCCAGTCATCACACCAGCCAACTTGTCGTAGAAGTCGCGAGCGCCAGCTCGTTGGCCTGGTAAGTTGAACAACAGCTCAAAGATGAATCCATCAAGACGAATGAAAGTCGGTCGACGTTGTGGCACTGTGAGGTATGCGTCTTTGATGTCCCCCGTGTACAAGCGAAGTTTTGGGCATGAACATGCGAGGCTTGCAAACAACTTCTGAAGGCATGCCAATGAAGCAGGGGCATACAAATGTTCCATCGTTGGGTCGATGAACCTAAACTCCTTTGCTACAAGGCGGGATCGCCTCACCCAGGACCACGCCGTGCCCGCTGCATTGGATCGAAACCTCCAATCTCTCACAAACTTGCTCTGCAGGTTCATCATCCCACTCGTGTCATCATTGTCCGTCAACTGCTTTAGGACCCCCATCTCCAACAAACGATTCAACTCTACTTTGTCCATAGCTGCATCAAGAATTTGGAGTTTCTCGGCGGGGAGCTGCGGAGGTCCGTCTTCATAACGACGAGAAGCCCATTCCTTGCTGAGTTCATGATCTACCTGATCTTTGGGCTCTGCACTTTCATCTACTCTCCAGTCTACCTCTAGACCAGCTTCCAATGGATCACCGTCAGCTTCAGCAAAACCTTCTTCACCGTCATGCCCCGTGGGCATCTCTTCCTCTAGCTCTAATCTATTCACCCCACCTGGAACATCAACCATGAGCTCAGCAGACTCTCCACTCGACATTGCACTCGAACTCTCACCAGGCAGGCTCATGGAACTCACAGATGGTGCTGAACCCACGGAGCTAATGCCAGCACCGCCAGCTCCATCCGGTGATGGAGGATCCGATGCCGCTTCATCGCCAGGAGGCGCAGGAGGTCCAGGAGGTAGCTCAGGTCCTTCAGCAATCACAGGTAGACGAACAGCCAAGGGAGTTTTCCGGCGTCTCATGGGAAGAACTTCGAGCGTATGGTCCCACGGAACGCCCTTCATGATCTTCAGGGCTTCGACATCATACCGTTTTGGAGAAAGACGGACACTGCGTGCTTGATGGATCCCCTGAGAGTCACCGACAATGTTCAAGTCCCCCAAAGTGGAACGTCCTAACCAAATGCATGGTTTCCAAGTTTCCCCCTTGCTTTTCGACTTCGGGAGAAATTGCGCATAGACGAACGACCCAAATGGCACAAGCTTTGATTTGTACTTTCGCCCATGGACAAGTTCGAACGGACTACATCCGTCCTTCTGGACTTTGAATCGCGTGTGCAGGAAGGCAGCATGCCTGAATGCCCAAGAGAACAATGGGTCTTTGCTCTCCGTCTTGTGTCCGGTGTGCTGCTCAATGGTTTTCAGAAGACAATTGCCTAGTGATCTTATTGTTCCAATAAACCGCTCTGCACGAGAAGCACCGTGACTTCCAGCCTCAGGTGGAATTGGCTCTTCCTCGGTAGCCAACCCCATTTTGAGTCTAGTGGCAACCACATAGCTCGCCAGTTGTTTCATCGCCGGTTCCGTATCGTACCTGAGTCCAATACGGGGATATCCCAGTGCACTAGCCATCCTGACGATCTCCTCTACGCAATGCTTCAGGCTCCTTCCACCCTTGCCGTCGATGGCTATAGCTTGAGTGTACTTTGATTGAGAGTCCACTACGACGAGATGGGTAGCCAAGGGTTGTTCTTCACCTTCAGTTCCGGTAAACATGTAGTCGATCGAAATCACAGGAAACTCACGCGTTGGACCGCTGTCATCATAATTGTCTTCACGGCTTCGGGCTGCTAAGCATGCTTCACACCAATCAGCGCGAGGAAGATGTGTGGTTTCGTGCAACAACACCAACTCTTCACTAGGTCGCTCGGCAAGTGCTGGAACAAGCGGCTCTCGATCGTACTCTGCTTTCACAGCTTCCGATGCTTCAACACTCACTTTCAACTTGGCCAATGCTACCTCACGCTTCAACCTCTTCCACACTGCAGCTTTAGATCCGTTCTTCGAAATGTTCAAGAAGCGACAGCCGATGCGAAGTTCTCGAAGAGGGCTCGTCTCGGTGAGGCGAACATCATTGACCACAACCGCTTCTTGTTCAGGGTCTTCTACTTCTACAGCGTGGGGACCAAGCATAGGGCCTTCAGGACGAGGCTGAGCAGCATCACCACGATCGACTTCCATCTCATCTTCATTGTCATCACCTTCAGCTCGAGGGGCGACTTGACGAGGACGACCACCGGAGACAGGAGTTCCAAGAAGATCTGGGTCTAAGGGGCCTTTGGACAACACCGTGATCACTTTCTTGGACTTCTCTCCAAGATCTATCTCTCTGCGCTCGCTCCAACACTCTCCACACTCAAAGATCTCGTATTTCCGCCCTTCACGCCACAGCAGAGTGCTGCGATGAGGCCAATCGTCAGGATTGAACCGCAGAGAGGCATCACAAGTCTTGTCAGTGTTCAGCCCGAGGTGGACTAAATGACCATTAGCATCCATGCTCCAACCAGGATCACGCGCATGAAGCTCCAACTCTTCAGGAATTTCAACAACAATTTGGACTCGCGATGCTTCTGGAGGACTGGGGCCTTCATGTTGATGTGGATCTTCAGGGTTCTGGTAGTAGACACGCGAGATGGTCATGTATGTGGCCAAGCTGTTACGAGACCAATGCAAAGGAAAACAAGCTTCACCTCTACGCATTGTCCACCTACCAAACTCATCACACTCAGGCTTCCACTGACGCTTCATGAGCTTCCCCAAGCAAAACAAAGGCTGCTGAACGTGAGCTAGCACTACTCTGTCGTTGAACTCAATAATCGTGCCGTCTTCATCTCTGATCTGGAAGCACACTTGGACTCGCTCTTCACCCCCAGCGATGCGGTTCCCCTGCGCATCCAAAAGGACGCTCATGTTCCCTTCCAGGCTCGGTGAGCCTACACTTCCATAGAGCTCAGCAGGAAGAACAGTGCAATCCGCTCCAGAATCAAGGATCACTTCTACGGGTTGATTCTCATGCGCCGAACTTGTACTGCGATTACGAACAGCACGACAGTAATCTCCCTCATCTTCGTCATCGTCTTGATCTAGCCGAAACCACAAGCAACTCGTAGAAGGAAGCTCGCACTCATCCGCACTGCACTCTACACCTACGCGATCTACCTCTTCAAGACGGCGAACCTCATCAACGTACCAAGTTTCAGACTCCTCGCCGTTCTCCTCATCTTCCTCCGTCAAGTCGAAGGCCATGATGCGACGAACCTGGGATTTCGAGGCAGGAGCAGACGCAGATGACGCAGCAGCAGAGGTACTCGGGGCCGTAGTGGATCGGGTAACGGTAGAAGAAGCATCTTCTTCTTGAACCTGATTTGTTCTGTGGGCCTTCCAACAATCAGCTGCAAAATGTCCCGGCTTCTGACAAATCCAACAGACTTTCTGACCCTTTTTACCCTTTCCACTATCTCCCTTGCCCTTTCCCTTGCCGCCATCCTTGCTTTTGCCCTTGCCATCAAACTTGCCCTTGTTGCCTTTGTACTTGCCTTTGTCCTTCCCGAAACCTTTGTTCTTGCCATCAAACTTGCCCTTGATGCCTTTGTGCTTGCCTTTGTCCTTTCCTTTCTGAACACGATCAACGTCCATTGGACCACTTGTGTCCGCACCGATAGCCTTCAAGACCTGCTCGGAACACCAACTCGACGAACTTCTTTCGAATGTCAGCAAGAGCTCTCGGAGCTGCTCATACTTTGTGGTCTCCGTGATCTGAAGTTGTAGAAAACGACGAACATCTGAAGACAAGCCGTTTAGGAGGGTGGAGATCTTGAGGTCGTCTGGGTACTTCTGGGGGCTCACTCTCTCGTACTCTCCAACCAGGCGCTCAAAAGTCAACATGTACTCTAAGAGTGAGTTGCCCTCCTTGTAAGGAGGGTATCTGGTGAGCGCTTGCGCTAAAGCCAGTGCCCGAGGCCGGGTCGCAGGCTGAAGCTCATCACTCAATCTTCTCCATACCCGAAAACCACACCCAGAAATCTCGGACTTCAAGATCTTCAACGCACGGCCTCTCAAGTAGCTGGCCAAGATAGCAAACAACCTTTCCGATCTGCTCTTCATCTCTGCACTGTAGCTCGAAACTTCAAGAAAACTGTCCGCGGTTTCACACTTCAAAAACTCAGCCTTGTACTCTCCGTCTTGCACACACATGAACGCTTTGAACTGAAAACTCCAATCTGGCCACATTGCTAGCTCATCCTCAAGCGTCTTAGCACTAAACACTTCAGGGCTCTTCACGAACTTGGACTCCTTCCATGTTGTAGTGCTTGAACTTGCTGCAGCTGTAGCCTGAGCTGCCGAAGCCAAAGACTGAACTGCCTGCGCAAGCTGAGCTAGAACATCCGTTGGATCGATTCCGCCTTGACTTCCCGTAGGACTGGCCATTTTCCCGTAGCCGCTCAAGGCTCAGATCACGCCAGTCAAGCTCTTTGCCAGCTGCGCCACCACGCACACCAGCTCTACTCTCCACACCCAAAAGTTGAACTTGTACTCGAAAACCTAGTTGAAGTAGTGCACCCGGCGCGAACTCCGCTGCCAAAAGGTGTTCGAAGAAAAGAAGTGTCAGCGTCGCTCGCTGCAACGCACTCAGAAGGTGGCAGTGGCCACAGCACTCGAACTCAGCTACACAGCAGCGCCGCAGGAGCGCCAATGGCTATGCCAAGCTAAGGAGCACACACTTGGGCCCTACACTACACACCTACACACACACACACCTGGGGATCTGGGTCCTGTCCCCTTGAAGCTCTGGTTCGGACCAGAGCTCCGCTACCATAAAACGCTAGCCCCAAAACGAGGCGTACTCTTTTTCGTCACTCTGAGCCTTTACGTCCGGGTGCACAGGTCTTCACTTCACGCTGCACAACACAGGTAAACTGGGGTCTGCTGTTACAGGAAAACGTTGTTACAATGACAGACAGTTAAAAACAAAAGCACATGGCGGAAGCAGGCACTGACACCTGCAGTTTCTTTTCAATTGCCGAATGACGCTGACTTTGACGGCAAGCTGATTGACTCTGGCGTTTTGCAAAGAATAGCGGACCCCGTTTGACACTGAATCATACTATTCGACAATGTCAATGACGATGTGACACTGGGTCCTGCCCTGCTGGTACCTGAAACAAAATTCCAGCACGTGACTCTAAAATCGACACGATGACACTGACTGACACTCACTGGTCTTCACCAGACGCAATGACAGCTGTGTCTTCCATGTCAGAAGCAAAAAGCGTGGCCGGGGGAGTCTTTGACTCTCCGACCCTATCCTTGGTGCTGACAGTGACACTGATTTCCTTGGCAAGATCTGGGTCCGTCTTTGCGAGCGATCGTTTGACCACTGACTGGGTCTCCATGACCAGCGCTCGCTTCCTGCCCAGGATGAGGGCAGAAAGATGTTAGGATGTTCAAAATAAAACAGACATCAACACGACTGCAAGGTGCAATTTGACCTATCATGTTATACAAAGACAACCGAATGCAACTGAATGTAAACGACCTCATTGAAAACCACGAACTGACATATATATATATATATACAATATTGTAAACATTGTGATAATTATTGTAAAACTTAAAAGTTGGCATGTTAAATCCTGATAAGTGTTGCTTATTCATAATAAATAAGACTATATTGTACTCAATATTCTGTTTGACAAAAGTACTTTAAAAAATATGTAATAATATATGACAATTCAATGTCTAGAATATTTATTATGGCCAGTTATTGTTCTTAGCCGACTTGTTTGCTGCTAGCAAAAAACGACTATTACTGTTCACCATCTTTACTAAACTAGACACTCGTGGACTTAATAGTAATTATGATACCTGGCCTGTTTTCCTGACTCTTCGACAGGATGGGGCGGAGATCCAAGAATTCCTCGGACGTGAGCCTGACCCTCACAAACTGTGACTTGACCTCCGTGGCATGGTCGAGGAGAGCATTCACAGCTTGACTCTGGCCCGTGAGGACAGAATAGCCCACAAAGCATGACGTCTGCGGAACCACATCCAGGCTCAGCTGACGACTGGAGTGGTGGAGCAAGACTTCGGATGGCCATGACAACTTTGCAATACAACAATTGCAACCGAGAACACCTTTGGTCTGGAGTCGCCAGGCCATGCCAGCATCTGACACTGATTCGAACAAGACGATGTTGTCATGACCCTCCACACAGTAGGTCTGTTCGTGACTCTTGGTGTTTGTCTTCATGAAGTTGAACATTGTGAAAAAGTCTGACGACTGTGGAGGCCATTTTTGACACTCCTTTATCATCACACAGTAGTAGGTGAAGGAAACGTCGTTCTTGTCCATGACACTTTGCCTGATGGAGTGCTCCGAAACCACTTGACATGCTCCTGTGACGTTCCTTGCAAACTTGACGCTGGAGAAGATACCTCAGGGTGTCACTCAGAGATGACACTGAGGATGAATGGTACAGGAATGTTGTTGATTGGTAAGTCAGGTCCAGTATAAACTACAGTCTTTCAAAAAGAGACATGTTTAGAAACTTCTCGAGGATGACACTGCTGCAGTAGCAGCACATCGAACTGAACACAAATGGAACACTCCCAAACCGAGTCAAGTGACAGCTCATGACACTGAGCTTCGTCTGCTGCTCCGGGCCCCCCGCAAGAACGGTCAGGGCACGGTTGCAAGTGACGCTGCCACCCCCCGATGGAGTCAAGATGCCATCACAGAAAGCCCTCTGGGCCTCCACCCCCAGTGTGATGGACAACATGACTCTGGAATCGCGAAATGTCTGCAGAGCACGGGGGGTTACTGACTCTAAGGTTGGCTCGTGACACATCGACGTTGAGAATCCCAAGCGTCTCGCTGACACTGACAGGCTGTCCTCCGGGTTTGATATTTTCGGAAGGTTGAGGAAGTTACTACCTTCTGTTTGGTGAAGTTGACTCTGATTTATAGTATTGCTTTTTTGTGCATACACAAATAACAACAGTAACAACAATTAGCTACTATGGTAGCTATTATTTTGAATTATTACACTGGTCTTAGTTTCAGCGAGTTGCCTTCTGACAACTCCTAAGTTGAACCTGAAGTACTTACCTGTGTGTCTGTCGTTGCTGCAGGATGCTCAAGACATTTAACCCTGCTGATAGCAAACCCTGTAAACTCTGACAGGGCACGTAGAAAGCAGCCAGCTCACTCTGGTGGAAAACCGTCCCTTTCTTGACACTGAAGTCCGCCGCAGTGGGGACAAAGTCTCTCTTGGAAAGACAGGCGTAGAAGGTCGCCATGACTCTGCAACTGACAACAAGGGATCAGAAAGGGACACGGACGGCAATGACACTGACAGACTGGAGCCAAGAAGCCGCAGTGACCACTGGCATTTCATCTTGACAGACCAACCAATGACAACTGCTTTAGCAACCACCTCAACTGCTGAGCCTCGGACAGCAATGGCAATGATCGGACCATGGAAACCTGGCAACTGACAGCTGCACAGTCAGTGCTTGGCAGTGTTCTGACTCATCTTTTTTGAATGGCGCTGCAGCTCTTGACGCTCAGCAGCATGCATCCGTGTCTAGTGACACTGAACGCACGGGCATTCTTATTAATTAAAGTTGGATTGACACTGCCACTGCCACACAGGTTCCACATCCCCGGTGGATCCCAAAAGCAGCTCGGGCTCCAAGTGACACGACTAACACTGGATGATGAAGGCGTTCTTTCGTTCAAGGAACCCTGCGACCTTCTGACTCTGAATCTGTGAAACAGAGCAGGACACCTCGACATCACTCTGAGTCTGACTCTGAGTCTGCGAGTCCGAGCATGACATCTGCACATCGCCAGACTGTGGGCGAGGTGTCGTCATAATAATATCATCGTGACCCTCGGCCTTCGCCTCCGACACTGCACCTTCACCAGAACACTGGGCCTGCTTCTTTGACTCTGCAGCCATTCTCGCATCATACCTGTCGGCACATTCGATGACCCTGGTGAGGCGGTCTTCCAACGGCTTGGCATTCGCCCACACCTCGGATGATGTCAACTAGCTAGTGTTGTTTATTAACTGTTGCAGAGTAATATCACAACAGTCAGTCATTCCGACCATCAGCTGTAGCTGCTGCTGCAGTTATAACGACGACAAGAACTGTCAGACTAATAATAAAATAATCAGAACAACATATTCGAGAAATCATACTCATTCGTCATTGATAGACAGTGAATGACACCTGCTGTT